CGCAGTAAGCGGCTTCTTCGTGGCGGAGGGTTTAGCGGAGGGGGAAACGCGGTCTACGAAAACTCCCTAATAGGGAGTTTTCGTAGATGGTTTTCGCCGACCCGCAACGCTCTCCGCAACCCGCCACGAGACCCGGAACTCTACAGTCGAGGCCATCTGCGCGCAGGAGCAGTAGCGGCTTCTTCGTGGCGGAGGGCTTAGCGGAGGGGGAAACGCGGTCTACGAAAACTCCCTAATAGGGAGTTTTCGTAGATGGTTTTCGCCGACCCGCAACGCTCTCCGCAACCCGCCACGACACCCGGAATTCCACATTCAAGGCCATCTGCGCGCAGGAGCAGTAGCGGCTTCTTCGTGGCGGACGGCTGAGCGGAGGGGGAGACGCGGTCTACGAAAATTCCCTAATAGGGAGTTTTCGTAGATGGTTTTCGCCGACCCACAACACTCTCCGCAAACCGCCACGACACCCGGAACTCCACGGTCAAGGCCATCTGCGCGCAGGAGCGGTAGCGACTCCATCGTGGCGGACGGCTGAGCGGATGGGGAAACGTGGTCTACGACAACTCCCTAACAGGGAGTTTTCGTAGATGGTTTTCGCCGACCCGCAACGCTCTCCGCAACCCGCCACGACACCCGGAACTCTACAGTCAAGGCCATCAGCGCGCAAGCGCAGTAGCGGCTTCTTCGTGGCGGAGGGCTTAGCGGAGGGGGAAATGCGGTCTACGAAAACTCCCTAATAGGGAGTTTTCGTAGTTGTTTTTTGCCGACCCGCAACGCTCTCCGCAACTCGCCACGAACCCCGAAACTCTACAGTCAAGGCCATCTGCGCGCAGGAGCAGTAGCGGCTTCTTTGTGGCGGAGGGCTGAGCGGAGGGGGAAACGCGGTCTACGAAAACGTCCTAATAGGGAGTTTTCGTAAATGGTTTTCGCCGACCCGCAACGCTCTCCGCAACCCGCCACGACACCCGGAATTCCACATTCAAGGCCATCTGCGCGCAGGAGCAGTAGCGGCTTCTTCGTGGCGGACGGCTGAGCGGAGGGGGAAACGCGGTCTACGAAAATTCCCTAATAGGGAGTTTTCGTAGATGGTTTTCGCCGACCCACAACACTCTCCGCAACCCGCCACGACACCCGGAACTCCACAGTCAAGGCCATCTGCGCGCAGGAGCCGTAGCGACTCCATCGTGGCGGACGGCTGAGCGGATGGGGAAACGTGGTCTACGACAACTCCCTAATAGGGAGTTTTCGTAGATGGTTTTTGCCGACCCGCAACGCTCTCCGCAACCCGCCACGACACCCGGAACTCTACAGTCAAGGCCATCAGCGCGCAAGCGCAGTAGCGGCTTCTTCGTGGCGGAGGGCTTAGCGGAGGGGGAAATGCGGTCTACGAAAACTCCCTAATAGGGAGTTTTCGTAGATGGTTTTCGCCGACCCACAACGCTCTCCGCAACCCGCCACGACACCCGGAACTCTACAGTCAAGGTCATCTGCGCGCAAGCGCAGTAGCGGCTTCTTCGTGACGGAGGGCTTAGCGGAGGGGGAAACGCGGTCTACGAAAACTCCCTAATAGGGAGTTTTCGTAGATGATTTTCGCCGATCCGCAACGCTCTCCGCAACCCGCCACGGCACCCGGAACTCTACAGTCAAGGCCATCAGCGCGCAAGCGCAGTAGCGGCTTCTTCGTGGCGGAGGGCTTAGCGGATGGGGAAACGCGGTCTACGAAAACTCCCTAATAGGGAGTTTTCGTAGATGGTTTTCGCCGACACGCAACGCTCTCCGCAACCCGCCACGACACCCGGAACTCCACAGTCAAGGCCATCAGCGCGCAAGCGCAGTAGCGGCTTCTTCGTGGCGGAGGGGGAAAGGCGGTCTACGAAAACTCCCTAATGAATACATTCGCCCCGGTGCGTCCTCATAGTCGTAGCTTCACCCCCTTAGAGGGAGAGGCACACGTGCTTGAACAGGAACATGCGAGTCTACGGTCACGTGTGCCTTAGCTCATAAGGAAAGATAACATCACATACGATTTCTGTCTTGCATCTTTGGCTCCAGAATCACACACTTAGAAAGGGCATCCGCTTAGGCTTCGTGTAAGACAGTATCGTCGAAGATAGGAGAAGATGCTACGTACACTTAGAACGGGCAGAGCACCTGCCAAGCCTAAGCTAAGGGCATCCAACAGTTTGTGTTCATTCACGGCAAAAACGTATAAAAATCAAAAAATTTAAAACTGTTTTTTCTTTTTTCGGCCATAGCGGCAATTGAACAGCTTGACATCTCCACAAGGAGGGCTGTTAGTGATACGTCCTTGCGAAGGAGAAATATACGAAACGGCGGCAACTGAACATGAAACGTTCTAAAGATTGCTTTTTGCAAATAGAGGAATGAATGGCACTTTATATCTTCCGTTCCCTTCAGTATAGTACACACATATCCTGCCTAGATCGTTGTGTTTGGGAGGGTAGAAAGACAACCATTTTTGTTCACGACATAAAAACGTCACCAAAGAGGTTCTTCGTGTAGAAAAAGGAAAATTGTGGCACCTAACGATTCGCATTGTGTATACTCGTCGCACATGCGAAGCGATAGGCTCTGAATGGAAGTTCTGCGCGAAAAATGGAAAATAGGCATATGTTATTTTTAGTTTTCTTGTCCGCGGTTCTGACAATTCACGAAAATAAGCTCGTGGACACGTTAGCGTCCCTTTAACATCTTTCGCAGTAGAAAACAAATTTGCATATATCTCGTTCTGCCTCTCACGTGGACTAGCGAAAACTATATATCAGTTGCGGTGCGTGTGGTGCAAATCCTTTCCGCGGTTTCACGGGTTAATTGATTGAAGGGCTCTCTACACCAGCGATCTGCGTTTTGTAATCATACATGACTGGCGTGGCAGAAGTAAAGCGTTCCGGAGCGTTGTTTCAATCTGTTCCCCGATTCCTGATCTTTGCCGCAACGATATCATCTTGCAGCGCTGAAGATCTATATGTTTGCCTTGTTTCTAAAATTTTCGATCCATATTCTGAGCTACCGCTAAGTCAAGTTTATATAAGAATATGCATAAAAAAGAAGAAAGAAGAAGAAAGTGAACGCTTATGTTTTTAATGGTCTAATACTACCGAAACGGCAAACGGCAATTCACAAGATTTACACAGATGTTTGTGTTTTCACGATGCTTTAAAAAATTTCGAGGCTGTAAATCAAACTTTACACATTGTAAAAGAAAAGGTATTTAAGTTTTTGTTAATGTACACTTTAAATCGAGGTAAAAATAATGATTAAAACTAATAAAGAAATCAGATTAATTTGATTTTACTGTCGAGGCCGGTTACACCGAAGTGAACGGGAATCGGAACCCACTTCGCTATATCCGCTATTTCGTTATAACCGACGCAGGTTATAACGCAGTGCAAAAGGGGATGGGAAATCGTGATCGCTTCGCTGTAGCTGCTATTTCGTTACAACCGATTTCGTTATAACCGGCCTGTAATGGCTTTAGCTAGAAAATGGTGATTCTTTATCGCTGATGATATTCCTAATGAATTTCTTAAGCGATGCGCAGAATGGATATCAAAATATTTGCTGATAATTTTCAAAGCGTCGCTGGAGCAGCAGTTTGCCCTCCGATTGGCTCATGGCAAGAGACGTACCTATCCACAAGTCCCGGCAATAGGCACGGTGTGGAAAATTACAGACCTATTTCGATTACCTGCGCGTGCTGTAAGATACTAGAACAGGTAATATCGAAGTTTCGTTGTTGTTGTTGTTGTTGTTTTTTTTTTTTTTGGGGGGGGGGGGGGGGGGTAGGGGGGCTTCAAATAGTTTTAATCCTAATCAGCATAGTCTCAGGCGGCAGCTGTCGACAGAAACTCTTACGTTGCTGAATCTGCCCATGGCTTAGCAAGAATTCCAAATGAAAAAGGACAAGTAGAAGCAACATGACGTCTTAGGAAACTACTTATTCTTGGCTTAACTAAACCTGAGACACCGTAAGAAGGAAAAGGAAGGGCACGAAAAAGAGGACGGCACACAGAACGTCTTGAACACAGCGGAAGATTTATTCTAAAACGACACCCTTTTATAGGGGTATACAACGCAGTCGGTATATACACTACTCGTGGTGGCGCCGGAAACACTTAACACCTTATTTCCAGAGCTATACCACGAGTAGTATACCGACGAGGCAGGAACCTCAAGGACATCTTGGTACAATCCAAAAGCTCACCGTCACAAACTTTTGGTTGCCAGCCTTGCGGAAAGTCGCGATGCCAGGTTTGCGACCAGATGATACGCACCAACCAAATTAAGAGCGCAAAATCAGCTTTCTGTTTCAAAATTCGTGCAACTCTCAACTGCGATACGGCTAACGTCATTTGCGTGCTACGATGCACCCCGTGCTACGTGGACTACGTAGGCTTAACGGGAACCCCATTCAGACTACGATTTAACAATCACGAAGCACACGTCAAGTCCCTCTCACACCTCCCATTTTCCAAACACATGAACCTGCCGAACCACGGTTTTGATGCAATAACAGTCATGCTTCTTCAATCTGGATTCAGTTCCGATCGCGAAAGAGAACTAAGAGAGGCGTATTTTATTCACAAATTCAAATCACTTACCCACGAAATTAATGAAAGTCCAGGCATACTTACTTGGCTAAAACAAGCAGCAGAAACCTGCTAACCATTTACATTATTTTTTAATTATTTTTTATTATCTTCTTTATTTATGATTATTTCGTTCTTGGTGTTTTGGTGATGGAAGTGGAAACACGCCAAGGACACTTTTTCTGCAATGGCAGTAAGACTATGGAAGACGACGGAATCAAGCCTAGAAAAACAAAAAAGAAGTGATCCCCCTGACGAAGAGCGGTCCCCGCTCGATACGTTGGACTCATTGCAATATTTTATTATGTCTTTTCATGAATCATTTTCTTCTCCAATAGTATGCATATATATGTGTATATGTATATAACAACACATGCTTTTATGCTGCTCCAGGATTGGTGGTGTGTCCAGTGATCCCGGCCTACAACGCTTCCAAGTATGGCGTCATCGGACTAACTCGGGCGTTTGGAGTAAGCGCTCATCGTGTCACGCAATAATAACGTATTTTTATTAGGAGTTTAAAGATATTGGTTGCAAATACACACACTTACATTTTTTTTTTTTTTTTTAATTTTAGCATTGGATAGACAGAAGCTGTAACTCACAACTGACAAGGACACTATGTGCGCTTCGGAAGTGTAACGATCCGATTTAAAGAATTGCAGCCGTAAAATGTGTACATCGTTCTGTAACATATTGCTTACTTGGAGACAGCGCGTAGTAAAGAGACTTTATGGGTGCGTCAAACAGGCTCTACGAAATCTTAAGTCAAAAATAAAATATAAAATATATATATGCACTAAAAACTATTTGTCCTAACTTTTCCAACTATAGTTCGACAGACGTGTGTAACTGTTATACGTCATCTACGAAACAATACTCTAGGAATAGAAATGTAATTTACCCTTATTGATAGATTTCTTTTTTTTTCTTTCACAGCCATTTAGAACCTCAACAAAAGGCGCTTTCCCAATAAAGTTAGTTATTTCCCGTGCAATCTAAAAATAAGTATAGGGCTTGACTTATTAAGTTTCTTCTTTCTTGCTTCGGGATTAATTCTTCGGCGTTGTTATCGTCTAGCGCCCCAATCCAATACACGATTTGCAATTCGTCCAAGCACCCGGTCCGCGCGCGAGGAATTGTGGGAGAGACTGTCCCTCGCCTAGCCGCTCTGCCTTGCTTGTCTCCTCTTAATCCTCTGTTTTTTTATTCTATTTTCTATTTTTTATCTATTCCAGTGTATTTTTTTATTGCTTCTAAGTGTTTCTATTCTCTTCGGCGCGCGATATTTCTGACATATATACAGTATTTGTGTCTTTAATTTGCCTTTTTCGACGGGAGTGCAGACGACAACACGCCGCTTCGCGCGTCGTTCCCTGGGTGAGTACCGAGTACTACCGTTGCTACCGATTCCTATCGCGCTGTTAGCTGTTCATTTTGGTTCATTTGACCCGCGTGCAGTCGAGTGGAGCCGTATATGAACACCCGCGCACATGTCATAGGGGTAGGCAGAGCTCTAAATCAACAATCGCGACGCGAGAGCGGAGTGCGCTGTGATTTGGCCGCCCGCGCTCGCTCCGTTGACTCGCACTGCAGCGTATGCCGCAAGATACAGCACGCCGCTTTGCCGTCGCGAATCATTTGTCCGCATGCCTGAGAAACCGCAACACCGTTCGGCATATCCAACGCTGCGGCGCCTGACAACTGCATGCACGCAGTTGTCTTCACCCAAACACTTCGCAGGACGCTGTCTTTTGGAAAGCGGTGCCAGGAAACATGATGTGCGCTAGCAGTATTGTTTGCACAGCCTGAAACACAGCAAACTGTAGCATGTGGGCATGTTGCTGCTGAAGGTTACCTAAAGAAATAAAATACCTAGAGCTGACATCTTTACAGAGAAATAAAATTATCGAAGGAACTACGAGTTTCGCCTTGGCAACAGCACGTCTCTGCACTTGAAAAAAGGTGTTTGCAACTGACAACCGCGTAGCAGATAGATTAAAGAGGCATACCATAAGCGCGTATACAAGCCGCGACGTTGGGCCACCGGCGCTTGCGAAGGGCTCGCGCTGCTGCGTGCAGTTTGTCAGGCACCGCAGCGTTGGATATGACGAAGGGTCCATTCGGACAAATGATTCGCGGAAACACATCTCTGCACTTGAAAAAGGTCATTGGCAACTGAAAACCGCTTAGCAGATAGATTACGAAGGCATGCCATATAGGCGCATTCAAGCCGCGACATTGAGCCATTGGCGCTTGCGAAGGGATCGCGCCGCAGCGCGCAGTTGTCAGGCGCCGCAGCGTTGCATATGCCTCAGCTTCGCAAACATTCGGACAAATGGTTTGCGGCGACAAAGCAGCGTGCTGTGTCTTGGTCAAGTAAGCGGCACTCGAAGGCACACGCTACAATGCGAGTCAACAGAGCGAGCGCGGGCGGCCAAATCACAGCGCACTCGGCTCTGGCGTCGCGATTGTTGATTCAGAGCTCTGCCTGCCTCTATGACATGTGCGCGGGTGTTCATAAACGGCTCCTATCGACTGCACGCGGGTCAAATGAACCAAAAGGAACAGCTAACAGCGCGATAGGAATCGGTAGCAACGGTAGTACTCACTCGGAAAACGATGCGCGAAGCGGCGTGTTGTCCGCCGGCACTCCCGTCGAAAAGAACGAAATAAAGACACAAAATACTATATATATGCAAGACATATCTCACGCAGAAGAGAATAGAAACACTTAGAAGCAATAAAACATACACTGGACTCGATAAAAATAGGTAATGGGATCGAAAAACAGAAGATTAAGAGGAGGCAAGCGACAAGGCAATGCGATCTCGAGTCAGAGCGGCCAGGCCAGGCACAGTCTCTCCCACAATTCCTTGCGCGCGGACCGGGGCGCTTGGGGGATTTCGTAAAAGGGCTATTGGCGGCGAGGAGGCAATATTAAGATGTTCAAGCCCCCCCCCCCCCCCCCCCCCCCCTCTACACGTTTGTCCTAAAACAGGAACGAATTCGTTCCTCGTTCCTTCTCAGTCTTGGAACGAGTCCTCGTTACAAGTTCCAGTGGTTCGAGAAGAACGCGTTTACATTTGCGTAATTTAAGGAAATATTTCGCCGGATAATCCAAAGTGAAAATGTTCACGTCGAACCACGTGTCGTGCCACCGCGATCACATCTCTTTTCAGTTCGTTGCTTTCGACTGTCTCTCCTACCCTTCCCCATCCCTTAAAGGAATACTTCGACGAAATTTTAAATATACCTGTCGTGTTCAGAAATAAGCTGAATATGATCCACAATAACCGTAAATGGCAATCGCACGTTTGTATGTTAAGCCTGATGGCTGTGTTGTTCGTTATAAACAGCCCACTCTTGCAAGCGTTCGGAGAGCAGCCGGCGGAGAGCACGTGGCATTCGGCGCAATCGTGACGTAGATCGTCTCGGGACGAGCAAAGCTGCATGCAGTGAAGCTCACGTCGACAGGATGTCCTAGCCGTTCCAGCCGTCGAAGCAGTCAAAGCACGCGAGCGATCGGGCCACCGCAACTAACCCCAAAGCTGCTTTTGTGCAGCTTTGGGGTTAGTTCAATAATTTTGTAGAGGGACAATAGCAACGCCTGAGACACACATAAAGAACAAAGTCTCGATGAAAAGGGAGTTCCTCCTTCCCCTCTTCTCTCCTAGTGGCGGGAGGCGAGACAGGCATCGTCACTACCTGTCAAGGTTCCTAGACGGGCATTACAAAGGAGCCGTTTGTTCCACCAGGTGCTTTTTGCAAATCGTTTAATTACTTTTAAAATTCCTTTTCGTGTCTTTTTAAAGGAATACTTCAACGAAATTTGAAATATTCCCGTCGTGTTCAAAAATAGGTTGGATATGATCCACAGTATCCGTAAATGACAATCGCACGTTTGTATTTTGATCCTGGTGGCTGTATTTTTCGTTATAAACGGCCCACTCTGGCAAGCGCTCGGAGAAGGCCCAGCGAAGACCACGTGACATCCAACGCAGTCCTGACGTAGGTCGTCTCAAGACGAGCAAAGCTACGGCGAGGCTGACGTCGAGAGGATGGCCTAGTCGTTCCAGCCGCCGAAGCAGCTGCTTTTGTTCGAATTTTGAGTGACGGGTTAATCTTCTATAATCTTCTAGGGGGACAATAGCGACATCTGCGACACACAAAAGGGATTCTCGGGAAGAGGGGAGTTCCTCCTTCCCCCCTTCTCTTGTTGTGGCCGGAGACGAGACAACCTCCGTCACTAGCTGTCAAGGTTCCTAGACGAGCATTACAAACGAGGCGTTAGCGACATCCACCAGGTGCTCTTTGCTAATCGTTTAATTCGTTTTAAAATTCCTTTTCGAGACTTTTTTAACAAGATATTGGTATGTTCCATGTGATACTGCTCTTTTAAACACATATGGACCAAAAAATGAGCGCCGAAATTGCGTTGTAGTATCCCTTTAAACAAGTGATCGGCGTGTCTGATGTCACGATGTGATAATGCCCCCTCGAACACGAATAGACCAAGAAATAAGCGCCGAAATTGTGTTGTAGTATCGCTTTAAAGGGATACTTCAACGAAATTTGAAATATTCCCGTCGTGTTCAAAAATAGGTTGAATATGATTCACAATATCCGTAAATGACAATCGCACGTTTGTATTTTGAGCCTGGTGGCTGTATTTTTCGTTATAAACGGCCCACTCTGGCAAACGCTCGGAGAAGGCCCAGCGGAGACCTCGTGACATCCAACGCAATCGTGACGTAGGTCGTCTCGGGACGAGCAATGCTACAACGAGGCTGACATCGAGAGGATGGCCTAGTCGTTCCAGCCACCGAAGCGTCTGCTTTTGTACGAATTTTGAGTGACGGGTTAATCTTCTATAATCTTGTAAGGGGACAATAGCGACTTCTGCGACACACAAAAGGCATTCTCGGGAAGAGGGGAGTTCCTCCTTCCCCTCTTCTCTCGTCGTGGCAGGAGGCGATACACTCACCGTCACTAGGTGTCAAGGTTCCTAGACGGGCATTATAAGCGAGGCGTTAGCGACATCCACCAGGTGCTCTTTGCTAATTGTTTAATTCGTTTTAAAATTCCTTTTCGAGACTTTTTCAACAAGATATTGGTATTTTTGATGTGATACTGCTCCTTTGAACACATATAGACCAAAAAATGAGCGCCGAAATTGCGTTGCAGTATCCCTTTAGAGGGGTTTTCCGGTCAAAAGTCGAACCAAAATAAATGATTGATATCGATTTACGGAGAATAAATACGAGCACTACCAAAATATGACGCTAAGGAGAGAACAGCGATCCACTCTAAAACCGATATTAAAAAAAGGCTACCTCCAACCTTACCGGCGGGCATTTAGCGGATTGGCTGTTTGTCAAGCAACCTTGTGCCTCGACGTCGTACTATAGTCCCGTTCGTACCCAATGAGCCCAAAGCAGGTTACTTGTTCGTACCGTACCAGTTGTTTCGCCGTGTTTTTCTGTTGCGTTATCCCAGCAGAGATTTCTGTTTCGTATGTTATGTCTTGGCGGTCGTCTTTTGTAAGGGCTTCTTAGCAATCGCGCACGAAGATTATTGACTCTCTGTTCGCTCAAGCGCGTCGTGGTGCCGAAGGTGGCGTTTCTGTACTGCAGAAAAGTAAACTCGCATGCTTCTTATTTTATATATATATATATATATATATATATATATATATATATATATATATATATATATATATATATATATATATATATATATATATATATATATATATATATATATATATATATATATATACAACACGGGCACTTCACACCATCGTACGTGGTCTCCGAGGAGGATATGAACGAATATGTGCAGATGAATGAACCGTACTTAATCCAATGAATCAAAGAATCAAAGTTTCCAGGAACCCGCCGAAAGTTCAATAATTTTGTAGAGGGACAATAGCAACGCCTGGCTCCGCCAATTTTTGGCTTTCGGCGGGTTCCTGGAAACTTTGATTCTTTGATTCATTAAATTAAGTACGGTTCATTCATCTGCACATATTCGTTCATATATATATATATATATATATATATATATATATATATATATATATATATATATATATATATATATATATATATATATATATATATATATATATATATATATTTGAACATTTGAATGATTATTCATATCTGAATGTCTGACTCCGTATGCACGGAGCCTGATATTCAGCAGAAGAGAACTATACTGCGCATGCTCAGAACGCGTGCGACAGCCCAGGACACAAAGATGGCGGCGCCTGTAGACTGCGATGATAGGCCTGTGTGCGCCGCCATTTTGCAGACGGACTTCTACTATTCACGCACGGGCGTCAGGGTGAGCTGCCTCTGTCCCGAGCCGATAGAGACGGACCTCTGGCGGGGCATCTCCAACTTCTGCCAGGAGATCAAGGTCAACTCGCCCTACATCACCGAGAACTACGGCAAGCAGATCCAAAAGTGAGCACCGGGCAGACACTTATGTGCATGGATGTTGCCAACTTTTGTCGAAATTCGAGGTTCGACTGGTTTGGCGAATCTTCGGCCTTCTAGCGAAGTTTGGCAAGGATGAATGAATGAATGAATATATTGGCGTTAGCGGCTGCGGCCTTTATAACGGGCGGTAACTTGCGACACCTAGCCGAAAACCTAAAACGTTCGACTTATGAGCAGTGTAGCCATACGTATACAAATTGTTTTGAGGTATGGGAAACAGCATGATTGATATGGTAGTTCATTTTATATTTCATCAAATTATTTCCCAAGCTTACATAACTTAAAAGCGAAAGTGTTTACGCTGCACGACACTGTTAGCGCGAACGCGACCTTAAGACTTTTTTTTTTTTAGGTTAGGTGAGCGCTTTTTACCACTATATTAGAGTTGGTGGCAGTCCTTTAATACTGAGAAGAAGTAGAAAAAAAAAAAAAGAAATCCGGAGATGGTTTGTTCGTGCAAACATTGTCCGGGGGGGGGGGGGGGGGGGTTAATTCTTTAGATGGTTTACTAATGCAATCATCTTTGTAAAACGGTCAAAGAGTATACCCAACCAATGTTGCACTTTTCCTCCGCCAGGTGGCATCAGCTCGTTTGTCAGTTTTCGCGCATACGCACATAAGTGGAACTTTAGTCGAACTTTTGTAGAAATTCGCAGTAGAACTTCGAAAAGTTCAAACCTGGTCGAACTGGAACGTCAGTGGGTTCGCGGTGTTTCTACTCTTGTCTTCTCTCTCGCTTTTCCCGAGAACATCGCAGACTCAAGCTTTTGACGTCATCTGCAAGGGCGTGACACCGGCCAAGGAGCGGAATATGTGCGCAGATGAATTGGTTCTTTTTAAAACGAGTTTCTGCGTATGTGTGGTGTTTACGTGCTTGTTTATATAAACAGTGAGTTACTGTGTATCTCTCAGATCCTCGAAGAATAGTTCTCTATGATCCCGAAGGGTCCGTCCTCCTTATCTATCTGGCCCAAGAGTCAGAAAAACAGTGCATTGTTTGTCATTTGGATAACTGTTGAGAGCTTTCGAGTTGGCATACACTCTAGGGAATCCTAGTCACCGACAATTTAAGAAACGCAGGGCGTGGCGACTCCCGAGCATCTCATTACCTCTCCACAGCCAATGGCATTGCGGCATTAGCTGATAAGAACGCTGGAGGACGAATCGCGATCGTGAACATAGCGAGGCACTCTCGACGTTTTCAAGCGCTCGTTGAGATGTCCCAACTTCCAAGCGGACCTCCCGCTGTGAAACTAGCCGGAAAAAATCGGCGCCTGCGCTTACAAAGCTCAAGCTTTCGCCGAATGTGCACTGAGCAGGCCAGTTTTACCGTGTAAAATATCAAAACGCAATCCTCTTCGCGTAAAAAAAAAAAATAAAAAAAATAAGCAGCAAAAATTTGCCGAGTCGAGGTCGACGCTATTTACTAGTAATGCCATCTTCGGAGAGGCGCAGCGGCAGACGACGGACTCTTTTGTCTGCTCGGCGTACCTATCGGCAGATGGCGCCACACGTAAGCATCCCAACGGACGTTGCCAAAGCTGAAGACAGTGTTAAAAATTCCTTGCTGATCAAGCGGCTCCAGCAGCTCAACAACACACAACCGGCATAACTAATCAAGCGTCTATATTATAGAAATCACGTTATGACAACGTTCAACGGAGCTCTCCCTGGTTACGTTCTGGTGCGCAGGAGACTATATACGGCAGGGCCGTCCGTTAGCTTCCGTTTTACTGAAAGAGGGCGAGAGAGAAAAGTGGAAAGGGCTACCGGCGCTTTCCCCCTTTCTGATTGTGTAGAAAGAGTGAAAGTCCCGGATGAGAGGCTTCGCCGGTGTTGGGTGTCTGCTATGCGCGAACTTCGTTCGCGCTTTCTTTTTTGTTTTAAACTCGCAAGCTTAATTAAAGCCAGAGGCTTCGATAGCAACAGTCGCCCGGTCATCGGGACACCATTGCTGGGTCATAGGGTGCACGAATAAAAACAGAAATCATAGAATACTGTCCGAGGACATATGTAGCTTGCAAGGAATCCAGCAAGGCGAGAGCGGCTGCAATGTCTTTGAACTCCATCGCTTTCCACATGACCCCTGTCTCCGGGGGCAGTGGATTGCTTGCGTCCGTAAACCGAAAAGGCGTTTCCTCAACGCCATCCTCTCGACTTCGCTCGGAACATTTCGTGAATGGAGCGCGCACCGAACGCTGTACCGCCGATGAACATGGGGTACGCTCGTTATGTGTGTGCGAGTTTTCTCATGATAACTGCTGTTTCAGATTGTAAAATTTCGTAACTGAATTTATCTTAATAGTGATAATTTGTAGTGGTGACTGAATCGAATTTATCATCTACAACACTTAGTTGAAGGCTTTTATTTCCGCCGCCGGGTGAGGTTGGAAATTGTTGAAAACGTAGTTCTATTGTTTTTTTTAATATATAATTGCGATCTCCTGCGCGATACCAGAGAGCCGGCAAAAGCGCTCCTTGGAGGGCCGCTGGTGGGTTGTTTCCGTTGACAAAGGCGCTTTGAGGCGCTTGATAGTCGCTGCAGGAAACGTCTCGAGTGTTGCGATCTGCGTTTTCGAGCCCAGTGTGCACGTTTCTTTGTTTGAGTTACGGCATCCGCCAGTGTGGCGACGGGGGGAACAGCGACAGCGAACGTGCCAGCTATAGAAATTTATAGGTGAGTACTCAAAATATTGCATCAAATAGTAAAATAATTCGTGGCTGCTTCGAGGCTTTCTGCGGTTCGATAAAAGTACATCTAGAGCGTCTTCGTCGTTCATTCACAAAGAAATATAAGAACAGGGACACGAAGATAAAAACAGCACAGCAAGACGATATGTAGCAGCTCCGTGCGTTTACAAAGTTAATTGAGGTTCCCGTTTCGTGTATCGCTTGCTGATTACAACTAAAAGCGGCTACGTTGAAATAGGCCCATTGCAAGCAAAAATGTATAAATGGTTCATCATTTCCAGTCATGCGGAAAGCAATGGAGCTTAAAAACATTCCAGCCGTACTTGCCTTGCCGGATTCCACGCACGCTACATAGGTCCTCGGAGAGTATTCGACGCTTTCTGTCGTTATTCGTGCACCCTATCACCCAGCAATGGTGTCCCGATGACCGGGGGACTGTCGCCATCGAAGACCATGGCTCTAATCAAGTTTAGGAGTTTGAAACGTAGAAGAAAGCGCGAACGAAATTAGGGCTTTGCAGACGCCCAACACCGGCCAAGCCTCTCATCCGGGGCTTTCACTTTTTCTACACAATCAGAAAGGGGGAAAGCGCGGTGTAGCCCTTTCCTCTTTTCTTTCTCGCTCTCAAAATGGTGCTACCCACGATAAAACGGTCTATACATCCGGCGATGAAAAAACAGTGAGTGCGCAGGCGAGCTGGTGAATGTTGATCATGATGTAGAAAACCCGAGTCTTTGGTAAAAGCTAGGAAACTTGGTCGAAGAAGAAAGACAGGGGAAAAGAACGTCTCAAACTGAGCTACTGCGTTTAAAAAAATTAGGTTGCTCTTAATGTTTATACAGCCTTGATGGAGATGCGCCTCAACGGGTAATCGGTCTCTTAGCTGTAGATGAGCAATTTAGCCAGTGCAGTACAACCGCTAACCTGGGGTTTTTAATGTGCATCACGCAGTAGTGATCACACGAACGCGTGCCGGTACGAAACTCATCCAGATCGAAACGGCTTTCGCTCCACGCTCCGAGCTGAGACGCGTTAGCCCACTCGGCCACTTCCTCCCCCAGCTACTGCGTTTATTTCCTCAATGTCTTATATATCCACAACCTAATCACCGACCACCGACGTCACAAGGTCAACCTTTGTCGTCTATACAGTCCTACCCACACTGGTCTTCACCTCAACCATAAACGGTGACCTCAATCCCAAAAACTTAAAGCTTAGGACCTTGAACAAAACAAACACAACAAAACTAACACACAGACCCACTTCCTTTCCAGCCGGAGTCTGCAAAGGAAGTGAGTTCTCGACAGTTCTCGTCAGTTCTCGTTTAGATAAAGCACAGCAGTGCTCAAAGCGGAGACTCGAGGCCTGGTGGCCAGTACATTGTTGAAACTCAACGAATAAATACACTCTGCTTTCTGACTTCTTTTATTTATTTTTTTGGCGTGCTTATTTAGTAGGCTCCCGATTCAAAGGAAATCGCCGCATGAATACATACGGATACATACATACATACCAATGCGGTCGCCTGCAGGTCCAACGTTGACTTCGGCAAGGTTCTTGCTCTCATCATTTTACTGGAAGAGAACTGCGCCGTGAAATTTCACACGGTAAAACTGACCTGCTTAGTGCACTTTTGTTGAATGTATGAGCTTTCTATGTGCATGGCACCGATTTTTCCGGCTTATTTTACAGCGGAAGGCCCGCTTGAAACACCCTAGGGTGCTTCTACTTCGCCGCAAAACACTTGAGAGAGCCAATTGCTGCAGTTTACGGACGAAGTTCGGCCAATGACGAGGCTGGAAATATGACTAGACATAAAAAAAAAAACAATCTGCGCTGTGTGAAAAAAAAAAAATGGGTTGTGAGTATGTTTATACAGCCTGAACTTAGTCTGCCTCAACGGGTTACCTTTCTCTCAGCTGTAGATAAGCAATATAGCCAGTGCGATACAACCGCTACCCTGGGGTCTTTAAAGTGCACCACGCAGTATAGTGATACACGACCGCACACCAGGATGCATGGGTTCTACAGCGCGAGCTTTCGCTCCACGTGCTCCGAGCTGGGGCCCTAATCTGGACACTTGGCGGAAAAGTCGGCGAGAAATTCGGCGGCTATGATTGGCCGGCGCCAAGGTCAAGTGTGGCGTTGGCCAATCGCGATCACCGAATTTCTCGCCGTCGTTTTCGCCAAGCGTCCAGCTTAGGGCCCCTGGTGTGCGCTAGTTCACTCGGACACCGATCCCCTTCTGCGCTGTGGGACCGAGCAGGAAGTAAGTGCGTGAAACATCATGTTCAATGTCACAATGGTGATATTTTTTTTTACAGCGGAGCTGTTAAGAATTAGTTTCCCCAGGATCGCGTGCGCCAGCGAATAAATGTCGACACAACAATCCGGACAGCTACCTCCGTCGCTTATAGATGGCGGCAACCTATCCAGCCTTTCCACGCTGGTTTGCCGACATGCGGCCGGCCATTACTTCATTCCCACCATAGTAGAGTTTCGCTGGTCTTCCTTCTTCATCTGAGTGGAAAGGCTGAAAATGTTTTTAGGCTTATACATGTATTTTGAAGCCTCGTCATCCTCCGAGATCCCTCCAAATATTGCAGGGTCTCTCAAGTGCTTTACGAGAAAGTAGAGGCTCTAGATTTCTGAAAGTGTAAACGTCAGACTAACGAAGAGTTAATATATGGAGGTATGTAAGACGTGAATCTTAACACTGTTCACTCATTTCTTCCTGCAGAGCCGAGAACGTGGCCAAGGGAGTGACGAAGCTGATTCGCGACGAACGCAATGGTGCCGCCCTCCTCTCGTTGTACGACGAAGGCCTCGTGTATCACGAGTTCACGACTGTGCGATGAGCTATGACGCGCGATCATCGTTGAAGTTGCGAATCCTCGCTCTGTACATATATTTACTGCGTAAATTTAACCGATCCTTTCTTCGCCGTAAAGTGTTGGCAACATTTTTTTGTACCGTTACATGCTGATGTATAAAAAAATTGCTTCAGTGGTGCGCCTTTTTCTTTTCTTTCTACAAAGTGGAAGAATCAGTCTCTAGATACGACAGTTATAGGGTAATTTGTTAAATTCTTCATTTAGATGTCCAAAAACAACTAAGGAGGTCTTCATTTCGGTACGCCATCGTCAACAAGCAATAAAAAAAAGCAGAAGGAAAACCAATCAAACAAAAAACGTTTACCAAGCAACAAAAAAAAATACAATGCAGTTGAGTACTCATTCAATTGGCTGCGGTACAATGTGATTGAAGACAAAATGTCAAGGTGAGGTGGAGCGGTGATATTATACATTGACTTGATCGAGCAAGTCGTGATGTGTTAGAGGGTGAGTGAACAAAAAGACTAACAAGATGTCTGGTTACACGTAAAAGAACATGAAAATTCATTTTCCCAAGAAGCTGCGCAGAATCAATTGCGCCATTTATAAGTTTATGCAAAAACACAAAGTCACGAACAGTTCTTCTGGTAGGCAAAAGTGTAAGTGAAATTGTTTTTAGTATATATTCATATTAATAATAAAAATAGGGTTCAAAATATCTACCATATATAATTAAAAAAAAGCTTTTCTGAACATTTTCAATGCTCATAGCCTGCGTTTTAGATATTGAGTTCCATGTGACAGACGCAAATGCAAGTCGCGTGACCTTACCAAAGAATTGAAAAGGCGCGTAAAAGAGTGGGGGTTCCAAGACTCTTCGTCGATGGAGATAATATTACTAGCGCTTTGTTAGGATTGCATATGACAAAGGATATATGGTTTCTGAAAGTTAAACCACTATCGAAACATACGCCACGATCTTTTATGAGTGAAACACGCTCTTATGGCATTCCGTCGAGATTATATGTAAAATCAACAATGCCGTCGGAAAAAAGGATTACACGTTTGTCTTTAAGGGGTTGAGAGTGAGGTTCTTTCGAATGTTACGTTGCCGTGGTGCCTGGTTTTGGTGGGCGAATGCGCGTCATGCGTAAATATGGTATTTTCACTTAAGGAAAAAACATATGTAATCACTGCCAGCTTAAAAAAAGAAATTAGGGTGTAAATTTTTATGTCCAAGCAACTTGCTTTTTTTTTTTTTTTTGAAAAGGGGGGGGGGGGCGGGGGCGTTCTTATTTATTAATGCCTTAATCTAAGGGTTGCCGGGATTCGCCACGTTTTCCGTTTCTTGGCTGTCAGTGAGTGACTTTAGTACTCTCGATGAAAATAGGCCTGATCTCAATCCCTCTCTCCTAAATTTTGTGAATACTCGGGATTGTAGCAACTCCTTCCCTGACAAGATCACGATGAATGTTTTAGTGTTTATAATGCGCCGGTAATTCGCTTCTTTGTTTTTTTTTTTCTCTCTCTCTTTTTCACGCACTTTTGATTTCATGAAACGATTGCTCATTTCAGTATGGTGTTAATATGTAAATATGGGCTATAAATGTGTCCCCGTCTCTATTTTTTTTTTTTTTTTTTGCCTGCTTTTAAAACTATTATAAGTTTATATTGCGGTTCGAGAACGCACACACGTCAAAATGATGAACCGGAAGCTTGACCAACATTTGTCAAATAAACAAATTAAAAACGGGCTCCTTCGTTCTTATCATCGCAATATGTGTGTTTCTGCTTATATGATGCGTCAGGCTGCACACATATAATAGAAACGAACGCGAACACTAAGTCTTTTTTTTTCTCGCCAAATAAGCCTTCTTTATTATTCCTCAAGACTGCATACGCACACAGTCGGTGGCGCAAGGCCACTCGACTTTCAAATTCGCTGTGATGCATCTCGCGATCCGACTTTCCCGGATTGTTCTCCGGTCACGTCTTTGGTTCGGCTAAAGTCAACAACGCCTTCCATTGTCGCGTCCAATTTCCATCGGGAATCGCGAGGAATTTCTGAAGAGGCCTTGAGGAACCACCAAGGCGTGGCACTGCGTATAAAAAACCGCGCTTCAAACTCATTTCGAACTGGTATCGTCATGGACATCAAGGGTAAGGTGGCGCTGATCACGGGGGCCGGTGGAGACTTCGGAAAAGGAGTCGCTAAGCTCTTGCTCGAAAGAAAGTGTAAGGTAAGTGCAAAGCAACAATACTTGGATAGATTAAATTTGAAACATAATTCAATTATAATTACAATTTTCTAACTTATTACGGCACAAAATTCATTCGCTTCATGAGCGATCCCCGAAAGTTTACTTCACAATTACTTTTTTTGCCTGTTTGAAGATCGTTTGTGACAACGATAATTTCTAGTTGTTCTGTTCCAATTGTATAAGGATTCGTTGAAATCCACATGTTTTGCAACCATCCCGTTTGAACCTATTGTTTCACCAAATGCTTTGCTCATCATAGCTTTTCTGAGAACCATATGTTTCGTTATTTTGCTACATTAGAAAGGTTTCGAGAGCGTCATGTTTTTTTTCTTAAAGTAAATTGAAATTTAAAGCAAAGCAACCAACACCATCTGAATAGCACGGCGCTTGTACTTGCTCTGGATTTGGTTTCCGCAATCCACCAAGAGCGACGAGCAGACTGGACGCGAGAACTAAACCGGCGTTCGGCTGGTGCACGTGTCCACGGATTGGACAGGAGCGTGGGCGGAACGTCATCTAGATAGATGACGTAAAACTGTCAGTGCACAGGCCTTGCTCTCCAGGTGGCGTTGCCGCAACACAAATCGACCAAGCCTTACTGTTTTTTTTTTTTGTAACTATGGTCACATGCCTGTATGCCTGTAAAACATAAAGGTGCAAATGTTCCGTACATGCTGCGAGAAGGTGATAGAAGTGTAGAAACTTTGTTAACTTCGAAGAACATAACGCTAAATTTGTTAGTGGCACCGATTTAACCACCAAGAAACATGTGTTTCCTATTCCTCTTTCTAAATATATATATAGTTTTTTTCTGAGTTAACTTTATTGTGTCAAAAACCTTCCCGAGTGGCAAAACACGTTTTTTTGGGCGGAAACAGATGGTTGTAATTTTCATTTCAAAACCACTTTAAAAGTTGAGGGTACTGGGTCGCCAGTTCTACCAAAAAATAATGGCAAGTGGCACACATGTGGGAGTTTAGATTGCAGTATAGTGAACTGAGTTGTTCGACGCACGCACAAGGAACAAGCAGAATATTTTCGTTGCCCTCGACATCCTGTTTCAGCCTGTGGCCGGGACTGAATCGGGGAAAGTTTATATCTCGACTCCCAATAAAAACTGTCGGAAATAAACGATTTAACTCAATGCTTAGCATCCATGTCGTACATTGTTTGTCTAAATAATCTGCTTTAATTTACAGGGATAAATTCATTCTATAAACACAAGAAGAAACTAAGTTTTTTTTTTGCTTCCAGAAATTACGTGCGCTCACGCGGTTTGTATCATCAAGTACAGAATCGTGTCGTAAACATGATGTGCATATTCACGCGAACTATAAACATATATTGCAAACAATAAAAAGCCAAAACTCAAGGTTTAAGGTATTTCAGATGCAGGCAGGCGAAGTTCTTCTCACAGAACACTTTCTTTCTTTTGAAATAAAATCTTAAGATATGAATTGTTTGGATATCGACCAACATACGGAAAGACGATCTCAAACGCGACCTTCTAAAAGCTCCTCTTATAGCACGATTGGCGGACATACATTTTTCTTTTCAGTTTCCTTTAACTCAGTGTCAAGTTCCTGGCGTAGCTTTATGCATACTAATTTCAAAACAGGCGAAGCTGGCGATTAATTGCAATTTTTTAATATTGTTATGTGGTACAAGGTGTCACAATTTTTTTTTACCGCAAAAATAAATTAGGCATCACCTAACGCGCATTTTTCGCCCAAAGGTAGCGCAAGAGGTCACAACTAGATGCCAAAGTTTCAGCCCGATCCGATACCTTATTCAAAAGTTATGCGTGATTTTCTGAAAATTTCAATGGGAAAATGGAGCCCATTTTTGCCTGTTTCCGGTTTCTGGTGCCATAGAGAGCCTCATGTATTCGAAATCTCCGTTGGCCGCCATTTTCCCATTGAACTTTTCAGAAAATCACTTATAACATTTTAATATATATATATATATTAAAAGGTTTAATAAACATATAATAATAATAATAATAATAAATTTTTATTGGAACACGCATTTAACAAGGCAGATACACGGGCCTGTCAAAGCCAGAAGCGGCTTGTGGGACAGCACCCTACAATTCATGCTTGAAAGAGTCCCCACAAACAATAAGTTCACTGCTCAAATTCAATTACAGATGCAGAACAATGTAGGTGATGATGGTCATTCCAACATATGCAAACAGAAACATGCAGTCACAACTTCTTCCTAATACCTTGAAGTGATTCTTTCAATTTTTTTAAAGAGTCCACAGCATAGATATCATCTGGTAAATTGTTGAAAATAAATGGAACGTAAAAATTTTGCACTCTTTTTCCGTACTTTGTTTCTACGAAAGGCACTTCAAACCGCTCAACACGCCGAAGAGGTCTACATAAGACACGAGGTACCTTAAAAGTATCGCTCCAGAAGTATTTTAGAACAACCGTTTGTACAAGTAAAGGATAAAAAAAAGGCAAGCCCAAGCATGTTAGCATTTATTCTTCAGTTTGTGACGTTGCACCGTACATTATGCTTTTAAATATTCCTTTTAAAACTGAGTCAATTTTTTTGCCCCATAGTCCTGGGCTGTGACCAAAAATAGTTATTCCGTAGCGTAATACACTGTATGCTAAAGCGTGAGTTATTGTCTTTTTGGTTGAAATGGGTATTAGAGATTTGGCGTTATACAGAAAACAGGATACTTTTCGCAGTTTTCTACAAAGTTGGGATAAATGGGCTTTCCACGACAAGTCACTCTCAAATTGTATTCCTAGATAGTTAACTTCATCAACATAAGACACAGGACGGCAGTCGCAAGGTGTACACCGAGATGTATGCATATAAAGTGGATAATCGGTAGTTATAAGTTTAAGTGGGTTATCAGAACCTATAGTTTCGCTTCATATCATTTATATACATTTTGATATGTTCATTAGACAGTATATGAAATATTTTTATTTCAATACAGAAGGCAATCCTAAAATGGCATTATTCACTTCAAAATGAATAACCAATAACTATCATCTGCTTGGTAAAAGGAGGGCAGTGGAAAGCGTTAAAAATTGTGGGGCTTGTTATTTCTTTTTGTTTTCAATAGATATCGCCACTGCATACCTGTGACCTACGACTTAAAGGGGAACAAAAAGTAAGGGCGCAAACGAGCTGGTGTACATTGCACATGGTTGAAAAAAACCCGAGACTGCGGGTAAACGACACAACACTAAAAAGTCTCTACTTAGAGACTTTTTAGTGTTGTGTCGTTCACCCGCAGAGGCTAGTCCGCAGAATACAAGGAACACTTGCAGAAGAACCATAATCTGAACTCGAAGCGGGCGTTAGAAGAAAACTACTATTTCTCATGGACAATATGTATGTGACTCGAGCCTTTAGCGTGAGCTGGATAATTAAGTACACCGTACACCGTAGCGCTCTTGACGTCCTCAAATGGCACTTATAATATTCGAGCAGATACTAAATTATCTGGAACCGGAACACCATAAGTTTCGAAACTGATTTTTCCCTCCGAAGATTGTTTCTCCACGTAACGCATAAATAGTCTTTTTGCTCAAAAGCCGAATAACGCCAATAACATAAACTCGTGGCTTGGGTCATTCGGACATCTATATAAACTACAAAGCATTAAAGCATTAAAGAAAGCAAAAAAATATTACAATTTTCACTCTTATTCTTGAATCGAACAAGGTTCAATTCACCATAGCCCCATATCGACGTCGCGACTTGTTTTTCATTCTCGCGGGAAGCGCGCATACGTCCTGGGAGTTTTATACAATGCAATCACTCGTTAATATTTATAACCTTTAATTTGCGTGACATTATTTGGGACTAGTTTTGCCAAAATGCACGTCAAAATCGATCTTTTGAATGCTGCAGCTTGAGAGTGCCATTATTTCTCTTTCCTTTTGTCAAGATCGACTCCTTCGACACATATATATGCTACAGACATTGCAAAAACGGTTTCATCATACCCGCAATCTGGAAAAGACAAGACATAAACTTCTAAAAAAAACTTATATTTTTGTTCGGATGTCATATATTATAATTGATAATTTACGCACTTACGCACGATAAGTTAAGAACGTATTCACAAAGCCGCGGGGTTTTGTTAATCTATAGGTTATTCCTGTCTTACTGTCAGAATGTCGCTGCATGGGTATATATCGGGAGGGCGATAGAAACGGGAACCGTCTTTCACCGCCCTATTCTTTGCATGCGTTTAGGTTGCTATTGTGGATAACCGAAAAGAAGCAGGAGAAAATGCACAGCGAGACCTTGCCAAATCGTTCGGAAGGGACAACGTCATCTTTCTGCAATGCGACGTCACGAACGAAGAAGAATTCGAGAGTAAGTTAATCTCAATTTTTCTCTTTAATTGTTTATATAAAAACGGAAATACTGCACCGTATATGATTTTTCTCTTAAAAAAAATAGAGCTATGTTGTGTTTTATACATTTGTATTGCCACGTTTGGTGAGAAAATGCTCTGCGCACGCTCTATTCCGGCAACCGCGGACAACTGCACATTAACAAGCCCTTGAAATTACGAGCGTTTTGGAGTAGGAAGGCTGTAAACGCCTATTGGCTACAAAAAAATTACGTCCTTACTGTTCTGAACTATAACCGGAAGTTACGTTTCTTTTTTGTAGCCAATAGGCGTTTGCTCCTGCTTTGAAACACTTTTTCTTGTGACGGTCACCATCTTGAATATTGACGCAGCCTGGTTACTGTTCATGTTGTTTTCTAAATCCCGTGCATTGTGCGCTTTCACCATGATAACACATGTTTCTGCCTGTCAAAGCCAGCTGCTAATTTTTGTCTTTTTAGTTCATGAAGCTCATAAGTTTATTTTTTTAGTATGGAAGCTTCTAGAAGGAACACTAAACTCCCTCCCTAAAAAAAAAAAAAAAATTAAGTACCACGGTAGGGCACACATTTTCTAAAATAAAATGTCAAAAGAAAAAAAAAAAAAGCTTCGCCCACATTATATACTGATGTCGCGAGACTGATTTGAAGTCGCACGCGATTTCGTAATATGCCTTTACGGTCGGAGTTGGCGTCTGTGTTTCGGAATCGCTCCTAACACAAAATTACTCTCGCGAAGTAAATATTGCACCCAGATTTTTCTCTTTTTTGGCCGGAAGAGTTTATTGTGTAAGAAACCTGTCTTTTCCAAGCTCTTATAAATGTTCTTCTTTTTAGCTTGGTATATCTTAATTCGCCATAGTTTAGATCTAGATGTTTGCGTTTGAATCCGAGCGTGACTTTGAAGTTAATCCTCGATGCCTCTGCAACAGACGCTTTTATCGAAGCCATCAACAAGTTCGGCAAACTGAACATCGTCGTGAACAGCGCAGGTGTGGCTGAACTTCCCAACTGGAGGAAAGTGTACGCCATCAACACGGTATGCACAACCTAATTCTCAAAATATTGTCCGTTAAAAAAAAAAAAAATAAACGATGGTTTTGTTTTAATATACGTTCTATAGTCGGCGATGCAACGTCATAAATACATCGTCAAACCTTTGACGGCACCTATGGGTGATTTTCTGTACTTTCGGCAGAGTACATTAGCCAAGTCTTACAACGAGAGAATACTCTGTCGCCATCTATGGGGTAGGGAACACCGTATACTTCCTACTTTCTTTTTCTTCGCGTATCACTATATTTTTCTTAATGGGTTTAGAAACAGTTGTCAATGTTACAAGCGACCCATGTCTAATAGATATAGTACACGTACATTTCATCTCGGAAATACTGCAAAACCTTCGCTCTAGTGAAATGCAGTTCCAGGGCCGCCTCATAGGTGGCGCCAACGTGCCAGTGTGTTTAAAGGGACATCCACAGGGTATTTATGCTCTCCAAGGTTTTTATTTGTACGTGACATATGAAAACGCAACTACCCAGAACACAATTTGCTGCTCGAAATTCGTGTTCTTTCCACCCGAAAACTGCCGATCGAGAACTGGACGGTTTGAGTCGCGCTCACTCTCTTCTCCGTTTTCACGCGCCGTTCTTTATGGTTTAGACACACACACTAAATATAATCAAGGCCGTGGGTTATCGAGGGCACACACTCAATATTCAAAATATTGCTCCTAACTCAAATGATACCAATTTTTTTTTTACTTCTAAAAAACTGCACATACGATGACTAAAAAAAAAGAAAGTTGCACAGTTACGTGATTTTCGGCAACTCTATCCTCCTATATATTTCTTCTTCCTCCCCAGTTCACTTTCGGTTTCGGTTTAGAGCAGGTGCGTTTTCCGACTTCATTAAAAATATAAGTGACGCTGCAGTACAATATTGATTGGGTATTCTTCTAACAGCATGAAAAAAATCGTCTGGCCAAATATAACGTCTAGTCTGGCAAAATAAAATGGTGTTGTCTCTTTAAAGAATCGCCTGGTACAATATTAAAAAAAAATGTGTGTGTGTGGGGGGGGGGGGGGAGAGTTAGTGAGTTTTTAAAGAGGGTTCTCGCGTCAAAAGAGATCAAAAGAACTTGGTCGTAAGGAAACGGAAGCGTATGAACCTGACAAAATCGTGACGTCACCCTCACTACGGCGTTTTTAGTAGGACGAGTTCTGCTCCCATCGACGGCAATAAGAGCAAAGTCAGACTCTAAACTTTGACAGTGTTGATTTAGGAACGTCATGACCAGTCTTTCACCGCATTTTTTACGCACCATCATACTTGTCGCTTGCTACTCATAATCTCGGTCGTGACGTCAGTGACAGGAACGATAAGAGGGCGCTTTTACGCGGTACAGTGATTTTTTTTACAAGGTCTTTATAATGACGAGACGTGTTGGATTTTGTGAATGACAGATCATGTTCTTGATAATTTCTGTATGATACCAGTTTTTTTTTTTCAGACGTAAATTTGGTGGTTTTTAAGGAATGCTATGAATAAGATTACGTGCGGACGAATGGCACCAAGTTTGGATTAGACAGGGGATGGTGGGCTCTGCACCGGGTAAAAACTATCTAGGAAAAAAAAAAGTTTTTTCAGTCGAAATTTGTTTTTGTTGTTTTTAAACCACATTAAGTTTGGGGGTGCCAGTTGTACTCACGGCGGGATACGGATACGGGCAAGATATTCCAATCGTGTTTATGAACAAAAAAAAAAAAAGCGGTATTAAGTGAGGGACAAAATGATAACCATGACAATCGGTTGCCCAAGTACGTATGTTGCAATTTTGAGTGTGTGCCTGCGCGTATGTGTGCGTGCGTTTATGTGTGTGCGTGTGTGACGTGACATGACGTGACCGATGCGTACACCACGGCTGATAGAAATATGATACGAAGCGCCTCAAGATATTGAGCTTCAACGTTTTAACAGATGGCCGTGTACTCTGGCAACCTCTTGGGCTTGAAACATATGGACAAGAGTCGCGGTTGGGAGGGTGGACATATCGTCAACGTGGCCTCCATTACAGGTATGCCTGAAATGTTCTTCAGTTGTTTCTAAGACAATATAGACTTTAATAGGCAATATAAACATCGGCATCATGTGAGAAATCGTTCAGGTTAACGTCGTTCCGTAGGATTTAGCGCCGAGCTTAATACAGTGCATGAGCGACGCACGAAGTGTCGATAGTAGGTTTTATGTAGATGATTATTTTCAGGTGTAGAACATCGGCCTCAAAGTCGAACTTATATTTCATTGTGACAAGCTTGGAGTCGAAAGCCTATGGGCATTAAATATACTAATATGTTCGTTTAAATATTTATCACTGCACACAGTTGTGCCCTGATGTTGTTTTTTACTTCAAACGAAAAAGGTAAAAAGAAACAAAACAAAGTTCTAGCGTTTTCGTTAACATTTTTATTGTTATGCGAATTCGAGTTTTTTGACAACGTACTTGCGTACCGTCTGAACCGACTTTTATGAGATTGTAAAGACGGAAGCTTGAGCGGGTTGGTAATTTATAATAACTGCAACAGCGCAAAAAAAAGAGAAAAAAGGAAGGGCCACACAAAGAAGGACGTACAAATAAGGCGTTCAGCGCCCTTGTTTGTCCTTTCTTGCGTGTGTCTTGGCTTCGTCCTTGTAATTTTTTTTTTAGCTTTTGTAGTTATTAGCTTTATGGGACAGAGCAGCACTAAAGCGGAGAACTCTGCGCAAAACATGACAACACTGGTACCGCCGTTTCGTCTCGCTAAGTGATATTAGCAGACGCCTAGAGGGAATTCATTTCTTTTAACTTACTACAATATCGGTTATTTTCAATACCGCGATGCTCAAAGGTCCTCGCCTTCAAAACCAACTTGTTTTAAACTCCAGGTTTTATGGCCTGTCCTCCCGTGCCGTCCTACGCAAGCGCAAAAGCAGCAGTCATCTCCTTCACTCGCGCCTTTGGGGTAAGTTCCCGGCCAAGTCCTGCTGTCCCTCTATGGTCACTGACATGTTAGCAGGGTGCGGTTAATCATGTTCACGCTTCTTGCTTCGTGATTGGTCTTTGGCTTTTGGTATCGCGGTTGACGCCGCAACCTGATCGGCTGCGGCGCGATAATGAGATGCACATGCGCGAGACAATTGCTGCGCCCTGCGTTTCTTGAGAAGGCAGTGACTTTACAAGTATGGTGCCTCGAAGGCGTCTCCGACAGGTGTGTTTTACCACGCTGCCGCCGACCGCGATCCTGGCGGTGTAACAGCAGTGGTAGTAGTGGTTGTGGCAGACGCCTGTTCTGCGGCGGGTCGCTCATATCCAGCTTGACAGTCCACGGAAGCTTCGGCAATCAGGAATTGGGACGCTACGACGACAGCGGGCGACACTCGCGTTGGCTCCTGCTTTTGGGGCTGAACTTTTACGGCCGACCACCAGGATCGCGACATCCGACAGCGTGACACTCCTGCTTTTGTTACGTCATTTGTTTGCCACTTATGGACCACTTTGGATGCACGGACGGATGGAGAGGAGGATGGAGGATGGAGATTGAAGGCGTGGGGAAAATAGTAGCAAAAGGTAACAGCGCGAAATTGTGCACGTAGACCCTTCAGAACCCCGAATCGTACCCTTCAGAACCGTTAAGACCCTTCCGAAAATGTGCACGTAGACCCTTCAGAACCCCGAATCGTACCCTTCAGAACCGTTAAGACCCTTTGGAATCTACGTATACTGCGGGATACCGCTCTCCGTTCCCTTTCAGAGCGACATTTTCTTCAAGAGGACCGGTGTCACCGTGAACTGCATTTGTCCGGATGCTATGGACACTCCTCTGCTGAAAGGACTGCTGGATGCCTGCGTGCATGGGGGCCCAGAAGCAATCGCTGTTGGGAAATATTTCCAAGAAAGCATCCTCGAGTAAGAAATATTATTCTGCTATAGGCAATGGAATCGAACACCACGTGCACACGTACACATAGCTCAATGACCCGGAATTTTTCGCATGGATGAGTAAGCCACGGAAATGCGTATAGACAATTAAAGACATACCAGCGTGTGGTCGCGCAACACTACAGCCTGATCGACCTTAGAAACTCCAGGCTGCCAATGGTACACGCACAGCGGACACACCATACGCCCGCTAGGGCTGCAAACTTCCTTCTATCAAAACTAACGCACGAGACAATTAATGGACCTGAATGAATGGATGGATGAATCCGGCTGAGCCCTTTTGATCGGGCGGTAGCTTACGCCACCTAGCCATTTTTTTTTTCGAGTAACGAGTGCCGTCTGGGGTGTTGTTCGCGAACTACAAATGAAGAGCAGCACAACATGCCTCCGCCCGTCGGAACACGTTGGCATCGTGCCGTTGTATCGGTTTTAAGTGTTTTTTATACCCCATACTATCAATACTAAGAACAAACAAAGCGTGAAAATAGACTAATAGGCGCGAAGATAGACGCTGACAATGCTGCTGTCGCCATTTTCGTAGAGCACTGTTCCAAGTGAGAAGATGGCGACAGAGGGAGTGTACGCATGCGCACAAGCTTACTGGAAAAATGTCCATTATAGCCGCCTTCCTGGGGTGTACACCTTTCGAGCGCTTATCACCCAGGAGAGAAGTGTCGAGTCGCAGGGCTGGGGACACAAACACCGTTGGACAATCAATTAATTAATCAACCGCTTCATTGATTAATTATGCAACCAACAAATCAATGAACGAATCAATCAATCAAAGTTGTAATTAGAGAACCACTGGTGGGGGGGGGGTGCACAGAAGGCAACGACAAGCCTGGAGAGGCGACAGCGATCCACAGCCCCGTTAGACAAATATGGCAGAGATGAGGTGTCTGTTGGAAAGTGTGTATCATGTGCATGATATACAGATGGTCACGTTTGGCAAATGTGTTTGTGTGTCTGTGGACAGCCTTTGACGCACAGGCACCGCAAATGTACCGATTCAATGTACTTCTTGTTTTACAGTCCAGAAAAGGTGGCGCTGGGCGTCATCAAGTTGATCGAGGAAAGAGTCAACGGAGCTGCTCTCATCGCCCTGCGCACGAAGGAATTTGTTTACCGCAAATTTGACATGTGAACGTGCTTTACTCAACAGATAATATATCGACTATTCCCTTAAAAAAACAATAATCCCAACCGACCACCACCAGTATTTACGAACGTGCTTATTAGGGTTGTGGAATCAATCGATTGAGCTACCATAAAACGATTAATGGATCACTCGTAATAGTCGACTGATTTCTTTAACCAATTTATAGGTCAGATACGGGCCCTTTTTATGGGGGTTTTCCGGTAAAAAGCGATACACTAAAAGTATACATTCATAGATATATTTTTATTTATTTTTTAGAAGTGCGCCATCTCGTAGCTGCTACGCCAACTATCCAAGTTCGCCATTGTTTTGGCGCACACTCTGAGCATTTGTTGGACACGAGTGGGACGTCAGCGTTCGGCGAGGACTCGGGATCCAATCACGTGCTTCGTGCACAAGAAATGGCGACCGTCAATGTTGCTTGATGGAGTTTTGAAAAGGGTACTATTTTTGTTTTTACCGTTATGAAACACTTCGCGAAGTACATTATATATATATATATATATATATATAGTTTACTAATGGCATGGCGAGCATGTACACGTTGGTTGCCACACTGGTCGTCGTCGCGCGTACAACACCGCTAAAATACGAAGTATACACTCAGAATTTATTAAACATAAAGTTTAGATATCGAGAGTATGCTAAAGTAATCTAGTGACTATAATATTTTAGCATACTCTCGATATCTTAACTTTATGTTTCATAAAAAAGTACACTTAGACTATATTATAGTCTAAGTGTACTTCACTGTTTCTAAAAGTAAAAAAAAAAACTTAGTTTACATAATTTGCATCGCTTTTTGTCGTGGCACGTGTATTAGCTTCTTCAATGTCAAACTCAACTTCAATAATTTAATTAGAGGAGAGGGAGAGTTCTGCTTCCCGTCCAGGTGGTCATAATTGTTTCCAAGCGCACAGTCGCAATTTGGTTTTGCACACCTAACTATGCATTGGCACATTAATTTCATCAACTAAACGATTTAAGATATGTTACTTAAATTGATATTTCTAGGTGTGACATATATATCACACTGTTCGCTTTCTTATCGGAGCGCATCTTTGTGCCCGCGGTCCTGGTTTCCGGTGGTCGCGGCGCGAAGCCACACCTCTCCTCCCTGGTAGCATGGAGGGAAGTTGGGCGCACGTGTGTCGCCCGTCTCAGCCTCTGGGAAAATGTCTATTTTCATTAATTAAAAAGTTATTGAATACATTTTAATTAATTAGCCGACTGATCGTTATGATTAGCCCTTATACTATGTCCGCCTGGCCGCATAACTCATCTGCACAAACCACATTAGTGTAACTTTCACGGATTTTTAAGACAAATCTGTTCAGTTAAAAAAAAGAACCCTGTACATTTAACTGGCGTTGGAAATGCTAACTCATCTTTATAAAATTATTTATTCCCCCAAAAACGATTCATTTCAAATCAGGACCAAGTCTTTAGTTGTCATCATTACCGCCACAGGGGTATCACGAGAAAATGTTGCGTCCCTGATTGGCTGCTGCCACTTCAAAAGACTCCGAGTTGTCCGAGTTGCTCGTCCGTTTCAAGCCGGGTGCGATCAGAGAAATTGGCGTCGCAGAGTTCGGACAGCAACCCCAAAATTGCTGGGAAAGTACCCCGTCTGAAGCGGGCCTAAGAATTCTATCAGCCTCCATAACAGACAACATAACTAAATAACTATCCGGTTAATGGTCACTGATTAATTTGTTAAAGAACTCATAATGATTTTTTTTATAAAAAAAAAAAGCGACTCATAAAACACCATGATGTAGCCAAGTTTCCCAGCTTTTACCACAGTCTCGGGTTTTCTACATCATGATCAACATCCAGCAGCTCGCCTGCGCGCTCACTGTTTTTTCATTCATCAAACACATTCTGTGTTGACATTTAGTTGGTGCTCAATCCTACTGGCAGTTGCAACAATGTGAAAATCACAACCGTTATTGACAACTTTAATAAAGTACACGAAGAAACCCTGGTACTCCGTCACAGCTCTTTTTTTTTTCGTAAATGTTCCTCAGTCGCTGTACACAAAATGTAAAAAAAAAAAAAAAAAGAAATGCTTGAATAGTTCTTACTAGGAAAATTTTCTTTCGCTTCGTAGTTTATTGTAATCTCCTGCAAATAGCTATCATATACTTGGTGATTTTCATCCCTACATCCTGGGCGTACTGCAACAAGAGCAAACACCGCGACACGCACTCCACAGTTCCGGTCGAGACTACGCGATGGCGCCACTCGACCGCACCTTGAAGATGGCGTTGGCTGCGTGTTCGTTTTCCAAATCAGTACGCCCAAAAAAAAAAAAAACAAAAAAAAAAAACATTTTTTTTGTTGTTTTCTTGCGTTGACAGTTTACCGATTCAAAGCTCGGACCAAGCGGAGCGAATCACTGAAGGACGCCGCTTCTGCCAGGTTTTACTGCAACGCGCTAAACCATAGTGCGCCGAAAATTATGGCGCGAATAAACATGGGGCGGTTGTCACGCTCTGTGCTGCGCAAGCGACATATATACACTAACAGTGTTCGACCTCTTTGTGTACACACTCCGGGTATTGTGGCACCGACGGCTTTTGTCGACATTGACGTCTCGCAATGGGCCGAGTGTTACTATATCCGAGTGCCGTATTGTGAAAAAAATGCTCGCGCAGTTTTGTCGAGCTGCAAATTTGGCAAGTTTGAAAACATCATAATCTAAACGCCGAGGGTTGGAGGAACGTTATATTGTCGTGTTGGTTCTTTATCTTGTTTCCTCCTACCCTACCAAAACTCGGGGTTTATATTGCGATGAGAATTTTGCTTCTCTGAATAGAACGAATACTAATTGTTACCAATTTCCATTTTGATGAGACTGAGCGTCTCTCTCTCTCTCTCTCTCTATATATATATATATATATATATAGAGAGAGAGAGAGAGAGACAGACAGAGAGAGAGAGAGAGAAAGGAAGAGATTTGCTGAGCCCTGCGATTATTAATTTTTTTGTGACTAGTTATAGTGACTTTGAAAATTATCTGAATCCCTTCCTCCCACATTATTGCTCGCGTAAGTGCCAGCTAGTGTTGAGTTCCCTAGACGTTTGAGCGTGGAACTCTTGAGGATCTGAACCAGGCACGTAGCCAGGGGGGGGGGGGTGGGGGGGGGGCATGGGCCCGCCCCTTCCTCCCAAATCTTCTATTTTGCTGGGGCCTCCTCTCCCCCTCCCGCTCATACAACAATTTGACATGGGCGCCCCCCCCCCCCCCACCCCCCCCCCCCCCCCCCCCCCCCCCCCCCCCCCCCCACATGTCTGATCTGAACTATACACTCTAAGAAATGCCTGTGCGTCTACTTACCCGCAAGACATGAAAAGAGACAATCTCTGATATATACGAAATCAGCTCAGCGAATGATGAGGCGGAACATCTGTTAATTTAGACCTCAAAATTAAGGCTACGTTGTGGCATTATGCAATGCAAGCATGACGCTTTGCAGTGCGTAATGCCGCCGTACAGACTTACTTTTTAGTATTATACGAAATGTCTTTTTTTTTTTTAATTCACAGTTATTTTTTTTTTAAGCCGCGAAAGCTACATTATAATGAGGTATGTATCTGTGCAGGTGAGTTATATGCCTGTGTAGGTAAGCTCTACGACCAAGGGGACCTGATATAGAGGGCTAACTGTCACAATAAATCAAATAATTAACCGTTTTTTTGTGTGTGATTAACTTTTGAATGGGGGAATTAAGCATATGGTTCCAATTAGAACATTTGCTGAGCGCCATCAAAAGCCGCTCTAAAGATGTGGAGCGTGTGGGAAGTGCGGTTGTGCGCTAAAGTGACCACTCGTGCAAGGGGTGCGAGGCCGGTGCTGCGAAAACACTATAGTGATAAGAGACGAAAAAAAAAAAGAATCGCGAGGTTGCGTTTTTTTGCAGCGGCAGCCTGCACGACTGCCAACTTTAATGGGGGTTATGCGTATGATTATACAGCCTAGAACTTGGTCTGCCTCAACGGGCGATGAGTCTTCCAGCTGTAGATGAGACATGTAGCCAGTGCAGTACAATAGCTAGCCTGGGGTCGTTAACGTCCATAAAGCAGTAATGAGACACGAACAGGGGTGGGGATTGAACCCACGATCCCTGGGTTCTGCAGCGCGAGCTTTCGCTCCACGCGTGCTCCGAGCTGGTGTGCGCCAGCTAGCCCACTCGGCCACCGATTCCTTGTTTTCTTTCTTTATAGCCCGATTTTGACATGACGCACGCATGTTTACGTTATTCAAACGTATTTTACATGACAGCTATATACGAATGAAAATATCAAGCCGTCAGCCAGTCTTTGGCTGACGTTGACACATTAAAAGTGTCTTAACATCACTAACGTTTCAATTCCCAACCACCTTTAATGTTAACCTGCACAAATCGCATTAGTGTTGTGGTGTTTAAAAAAAAAATGGTGTTTAAAAAAAAAACGTCGGTGAAGCTATAGAAAAATACACCTTATATGCATATATCTGACACCCTATACAAGGATGAAAACGATCGTGATTTTGCCGAAAAAAAAAGTAAACATGTGTATTTTATTCCAATTAGATTTGTTTGATTTAAATCAGTTTCATTTGATTTAAATCACTGGAGCTAAAAAAAAGTCATTATTTATCATTACACATATTTTCAAACATGGAAGATTGGTTGATCAATCCTTCCGATATCGTTGAAAACAATGCATAAGAAAGGATTGGTGTGACTTTGAACTTTTAAAGTACAGTTCATTTAACAATTTTTTTTACTGATGTAAACCCTGCCATATTAGGACAAGAGCAGCTTGATTATTCCATTTTCTTGCAATAAGACAATACTTTCCTTTATTTAGTTTTTTCCCCCTTTTTCCTCCTGATTTCACTTCGACAGGGCATTGCGTATAAGTGACGAATGATATCGTAGATCGAAAAGAGGGCTCAACGTTTTTGTTTGCTTAAAAAATTACCGGATTTTTGC